CCCACTTTGATGCCCTGATGTGATGCTCTTGGTGGACCTCCTTGTGGCTCTTTACCCAGGAAATGAAGAAAGCTGAATTACTGGTGGCCAGACAGTGGAAGTGAACAGGTTGGGTGGGCAGCATGGCTAGTAGCTTCTTGTCCATCCACTGAGGCTGAGTCCAGCAGGGGGACCCAGGCACGTGAAGGCCACAACAGAAATGGAAAACAGAGGCCCTTCTGATCTGACCCCTTTCAAAGGCTCCTTCTAACTCCAGCCTCAATTTCCCTTTCTATGGAGGGAAACTGTTGGCCTTTTGAGGACTCCTGCCTGAACTGGACAAGGCTCCCAGGAACATCACCACAGTGTCCCCAAACCCCCAGCCATTCTCAGGGCTGGGCTGTGTGTCTCCTCCCCTCTCTGTCTGCTTCCTCCAAGCTACTGCTCCTGCCCAGAGCCTCAGGGGCTCCATCCTGGCCTGAGGAACTTCAGGGCATGAGGGCATCCTCCAGGGGAGCCCCCACCCTCCCAAGGAGGCACACTGAGGCAGGTCCAGCAGGGGCATGGTCCAGAACCCAGCGGGCACCCCAACTGGGTGGAGGAGCCAGGACAGGCCTTGGGAGCAGTTTACCAGGAGGGGGAACTCAGATGCCCACAGTGCCAAGACTAGAAGGCAGCTGGGTGGTGTCTGCCAACTAGAAAATAAGATCCTAGGGCCAGGTGCAGTGGCTCATGCCTGTAATCCCAGCACTTTGGGAGGCCGAGGTGGGCAGATCACCTGGGGTTGGGAGTTCGAGACCAGCCTGATGAACATGGAAAAACCCCGTCTCTACTAAAAATACAAAAAATTAGCCAGGCGTGGTGGCACATGCCTGTAATCCCAGCTACTCAGGAGGCTGAGGCAGGAGAATCACTTGAACCTGGGAGGCGGAGGTTGCAGTGAGCTGAGATCGCACCATCGCACTCCAGCCTAGGCAACAAGAGCAAAACTTCGTCTCAAATAAATAAATAAATAGAAAATGACATCCTAGGCCACCCTCTGCAGTGTTCCAGGGCCTGGTGGGCACCTAATAAGGATGGAGTTCTAGAGACCTTGCCTCCTCCCCATCCTGGTGTCCAGGACTGCTGCCACCCCCGGCCCCACAGTCCGACTGGTTTTCTTTTTTCCTGGAGGCTGCAGTGGGAGCTGCCTTTCTGTGAGGTTTCATGGGGAGGCTGGGCCAGCAGCTGTCAGGGGAAAGGCACCAGGGACCCAGGACAGAGGAGGGAGAGAGGCCCTCCCCATGGTAACCTTGCAGCCATCCACCTGCAGAGACACACCCATCTTTCAAAGGAGGACACAGAGGTGTCACAGGTGGAAGCAGTGTGGACAGAAGCTGGGAAGAGTTACCTCCCAGAGCTCCAAGCTGCCCTCCTAGGGTGGGTGGTGGCCCCCAGGGTGATGGAGAGCCCAGGAGGCTGTGGCAGAGGCTGTTTTCCAAAACTGAGAGACCACAGTTGTGGGGGGCACATGGCAACATGTTCAAGCTTATGTACAAGGCATTTGAGGTCGGGGCATAGAAAAATACTGAGGCGCTGCGTGTATGTTATTTGTGCATGGGAATGAAACTCCTTGACTTTGAAAACAGGGCAGGGAGTGGAGTGTGTGGTGTGACAAGGAACGCTGAAAACAGCCTCCTGAGAATGCGGTTTAAGTGCTTTTACAAGGTCACAGTTGTCTCATGACCCGACCTGAAAAAAGCCATCTAGTGGATGTTTGTGGTTTAACAAGCCTTTTCAATAAATACTTGGCGGACCGATGCTCGGGCCAACTCTCTCAGAAGAGCTGCTTCACCCAGCCCGCTCAGCTGGAATTGTCTGACAACTCGTTCTTTGCATTCACTGCAAGCTATAAGCTCTGCAAGTGGTACCCCCGATGTGACCGCCTTGAAGTTACGTGTGAAGGAGGAGAGCTCGTCAATTTTTGAGGAATCCCAGTAAAGGACAGTCCTGACTCCCATCAGGACTACAGGACCCACATGTAAAATACCAAAAGTTAACTTATCATAAGTCAAGAAATGACCAAAGAGCAGAAAATATTTTTTAAAACAGTGCAACAGCTACTTGAGGCTATCCAGTGCACTGTAGCGCCTGGAGCTCTACATAAGCTTATGCTTTTAATTCAGCAAGAATGCCCTTAGTTTCCTGATCAAAGAACCTCAGATTTAAAGTTACAAGAGCAAGTAAGTCATTGCCTGAAAAGAGGATATGAGCAAAGTCATTTTACTAATGTTACTATTTTGACCACCTAGGCGCTAGTACGCTCTGCGTTGTATCCTCTTTATCTGCCAGATCAGGGTGAGTTAGACCACCCATTATCTCCACCTGAAAGGAATTCAGAAGATTTAAAAGGAGAGATTTCTCTCCCGCTTCATTCCCTTCTATGGGGAGTAAAGAAGAGACTCTTTCTAGTGACGAAAAACAAACCAGAACAGGAAGGAGGTGCTCCTCTCTCTACTTCATTCCCTTCTGTAGGGCATAAGGAAGATATTTTTTCTAGTGAAGGTAAGGACGGACCAGAGCCTTTTCCTCCCCCTATAGAAAAGCCATTGCCCTCCTTTCCTCCTACCTTTTTTTTTTTTTTTTTTTTTGAGACGGAGTCTCGCTTTGTCGCCCAGGCTGGAGTGCAGTGGCCGGATCTCAGCTCACTGCAAGCTCCGCCTCTTGGGTTCACGCCATTCTCCTGGCTCAGTCTCCCGAGTAGCTGGGACTACAGGCGCCCGCCACCACGCCCGGCTAATTTTTTGTGTTTTTTAGTAGAGACGGGGTTTCACCGTGTTAGCCAGGATGGTTTCGATCTCCTGACCTCGTGATCCGCCTGTCTCGGCCTCCCAAAGTACTGGGATTACAGGCTTGAGCCACCGCGCCCCAGCCCCTCCTACCCTTAAAAGCACCTGCGTTCGTTGGCCCTGTTCAGGCAACAGTGCCTTTCTTCGCCCTTAAGGAGATTGGAGGCTGCCCATAGGACAGTTCTTAGATAAGACCCCCAGTCAGCGAACATCTGTGTGATCACGTGGCCGCGACAACAAACTTCTCTGCTGGAGAGGTGCCTCCAGGAAGGAAAGAAAGTTGCTGGTAATTCTTGTCCTTTGCCAAGTAAGATCAGCTCAAGAACATGTTTATTAGAGTCATGTTATAAATCCCCATTTTAAATGCTATTACATAGTAGGAGGCTGACCTGCCTTTGTCATCTGATGATACTTCTTAAACAAGAAGTCGACAGATGCCCCTGTCTTACCCCTTAACTGGAAATTTAAGATAGATTAAACTGAATTACTCATTGATTTTATTGTCTAGTAACCCCCCTTTGTTTTTTTCCACAATAGCACATAGTGTGTTACTCTCATTCCTCAGGAGTATCTTTACTATCAGCCCCAAAAGGATACTAAGCTTGCAAACTTGACCTTTATTTCTGCTGTTACCACCAATCTTACTGAAATCTCTCTTTTTTTTTTTTTTTTTTTTTTGAGACGGAGTCTCGCTCTGTCGCCCAGGCTGGAGTGCTGTGGCCGGATCTCAGCTCACTGCAAGCTCCGCCTCCCGGGTTCACGCCATTCTCCTGCCTCAGCCTCCAGAGTAGCTGGGACTACAGGCGCCCGCCACCTCGCCCGGCTAGTTTTTTGTATTTTTTAGTAGAGACGGAGTTTCACCGTGTTAGCCAGGATGGTCTCGATCTCCTGACCTCGTGATCCGCCCGTCTCGGCCTCCCAAAGTGCTGGGAATACAGGCTTGAGCCACCGCGCCTGGCCTAATCTTACTGAAATCTCTAATGAAGCTATACAAGTGCCTAATCTTCCTAAATGCCATCCGAGTAAGGACTGGCGACATGAGTTTGAGGCCTTCCAGTAGTCGCCATGCAGACAGCCTGCGCTGCGCCAAGAGCCTCTGTTTAATAATGGCCCCTTACTTGGTTAAAGTCCCCATAGTTATCTTCTGTCTGGAAATCCGACTATTAGATTTAAGAGTCCCTCCGACAGTTCTATTACCTAGTCAAAGTATAGGCTTTCAAGACCAATATTACAACTAAAAAAGAAACACACTTTCAGCCCCGTTCATACCCAAATTCAGAGATTAAGACTTCCTTTTTTATTCAAGTTATTTCACATAGTGAGCATATTTCTAGAAGTGGCAACTCTACGCTCTCTTTGCATAACAATGTTACTGACACAGTCTTAATTTCTACTACGCACCCTTATATACTTTTGTTTAAGCAAAGTGTTCCTAACATAAAGCAAAATCAATCCTTTTATAATATTAAAGTCTCTTCCAGTAGTTAGTATGCTACACGCTTGTCTCATCAAAACGTTACACAGTGAAATATACCTATGTCATGATCTTAAAACGGTGTGCAAAACTGTGGCTGCCTGTAAATTTAACCCAGAGCTAAGAAAGAGATTCTACCCTGCAGCTATTTAGAAAAACACTGTCTCATACACACACAAAAAGATTTCTGGCCACTTTAATTGCCTTTTTAGTCTCAGCTATTACTATATCAGCAACTGCCGCTACTGCAGCTGTTTCTCTAACGGAATCTACTCACACAGCCTCAGTGGTGAACCATATAGTATATAATGTAATCCATGAATTTCAACAAGTAAACATTAATAAAACTATTCTGTCTCGCCGAGAGGCTCTTGAAGCCACTGTTAAATAGCTGAGGGATTGGTAGCAGGCATTCACTACCTGTCAAAATTTACATTGTGACTGGCAATAAAATTCTATCTATGTCATGCCTCTGCCACATAATAGCTCCCAATATGCTTAAGAGAGAGTAAAAGCACATCTGCAAAGAGCTTATCAGGACCACCTATCTTCTTAAATTTCTACTCTTGAGTGTGAGTTAAAGCAACACTTGAAGAATAGTCACAGCAATTACAAACAAGTACCCTTCAGCAATTACAAGAAGGCTTTCAATAGTTAAACCCCAAAACTGCCTTGTCTAAGTTAAACATACATATCTAAGTGATAGCCACTATACTTACTCTTTTTTGTATCTGTTTGCTAGGCATCTGCAGATGGTTCTGTGCTGCCATCCAACCCATCCATGACCAGAGAAGAACAATAGAAGCTTGCCTTGCATTAGATGACCAGCATGATCTAAGAATTAAAGAAGGGGGAGATATGGGGGGGCACACGGCAACTTATTCAAGCTTATGTACAAGGCATTTGAGGTCAGGGCATAGAAAAATACTGAGGCACTGTGTGTATGTTATTTGTGCATGGGAATGAAACTCCTTGACTTTGAAAACAGGACAGGGAGTGGAGTGTGTGGTGTGACAAGGAACACTGAAAACAGCCTCCTGAGAATGCGGTTTAAGTGCTTTTACAAGGTCACAAGTGTCTCACGACGCCACCTCAAAAAAGCCATCTAGTGGATGTTTGTGGTTTAACAAGCCTTTTTGATAAATAGATGCTAAGTCGGACTCTCAGACCAGCTAACCCTGCCCTGGGCCCGCTCAGCTGGAATTGTCTGAGAACTCATTCTTGGCATTCACTGCAGGCTATAAGCTCTGCAACAGTGACAGTGCTGCCCACTGCCAGACAGTGCCTTCTGAAAGGTGACCTTCACAGCCCAAGCACACATGGGGTGGAAACACCATCACCTGCCTAGAATAACCAGGTGGGCAGAGGCAAGCAGGGACTCAGGGTGAGAAAACTCAAGTGTGTGGTCAAGGGCAGGGGCCGAGGGCTCAGCTGAGCTGGAAAATTCAGATCTTCTTTCAGAATGTGCGTCTCTCCTGGGATCTGGGAAGGAATGAAGCCAGCCATGATTGAAGCCTCCACCAGTGCAAAGTGAGGAGCAGGGTAGGGCTCTGCATGAGGCTGAGTGCTGACCCCTGACAGAGCTGATCCTGACCTTTGACAGGCTCATCCCCGTCCCCTACGTGCAGGCAGAGGCCAGGGACCCCAACTTCAGGCAGAGGTTGGTAGCAGGTTTCCTGCCTCCTGAAATCCCATCCCAGGGCCCACAGGGTCCCTGGGGAGACCGAATAGGGGCTGAGTTGAGGGAGTCAGGCAGGGGGCTGCCAGGTGAAGGACAGTGTGGGACTGGGCATGAGTGGGCACTAACAGTGCAGGGTCTGGCTCTTCCTGGAGAGGTGGCAGCGGGGCACAGGCCAGCTGAGCCCCCCGATGCTCCACCCAGCTGTCAGGCACACCTGGCCCATAATCCCCCAAGCAGCCCCAGTATGGGTTCTTTCTTGATCAAGAAAAGAGGGGACCCACCTCCACCCCCACAGACACTTGTCCTCATATACGTCAGAGAACAAAACTCTTGCTGTGCCCAAGGCCCGGGAAAGGGGGGTGATATCTCTCTACCTCACAGTGCCCTATTCCTTTTTTTTTTTTGAGACAGAGTCTCACTCTGTTGCCCAGGCTGGAGTGCAGTGGCGTGAACTTGGCTCACTGCAAACTCCGCCTCCCAGGTTCAAGCGATTCTCCTGCCTCAGCCTCCTGAGTAGCTGGGACTACAGGCACCCACCACCACACCCAGCTAATTTTTGTATTTTTAGTAGAGACGGGGTTTCACCATGTTGGTTAGGCTGGTCTCGAACTCCTGATCTCATGTCCACCTGCCTTGGCCTCCCAAAGCGCTGGGATTACAGGTGTGAGTCACCACGCCCAGCCCATAGCACCCTTTTTTTGCCAGAAAACCCACCTTACCCCCACAAGGTGCTGATGTCAACCAGGATCCCACATGCCAAGAACAGGCCACTGCTGTAGCCCAAAGGCTACTGAATCCTGTGGGGGCCTTGTTGAGCCTGGGGAGCATTTTCCAGCCACTTAGTCTTTGTGATTCTGTCACTCACTGGCCCTGTGCTTCAGTTTCTCCCACCATGGCACAAGATAAAAATCCCTTCCTGGCCGGGCGCAGTGGCTCACGCCTGTAATCTCAGCACTTTGGGAGGCTGAGGCGGGCGGATCACGAGGTCAGGAGATCGACACCATTCTGGCTAATACGGTCTCTACTAAAAATACAAAAAAGTAGCCGGGTATGGTGGCTGGCGCCCGTAGTCCCAGCTACTCGGGAGGCTAAAGCCGGAGAATGGTGTGAACCCAGAAGGCAGAGCTTGCAGTAAGCCGAGATCACGCCACTGCACTCCAGCCTGGGCAACAGAGCAAGACTTCATCTCAAGAAGAAAAAAAAAAAAAAAAAAATCTTCCTGAAGGCCAGGGTGCCCGGACAGGCTACCATACCCCAGTAAATGGCTGCAGCATGTGAAAGTCGGGGGTGAGAGATGCTCCCTTCCCTAGTTCTCTTGCCCCAGGTCTGATGTCCATCAGGCTATGCCAGGCCAGCCTGCTTGGGAGGGGCACATCCCCTGCTGGGGAACCCTGGTTTCCAGTCCCAGGTCACTACAGTTAAGAACCCCCAACACATTGTGGGAGGCACAGGGGTTGGATGGAGGAGGAGAAAGGCTTCATCATAAGGGCCTTGGGTCCATCCCCAGAGGACAAGAATCAAATTCAGACTGCTATCAGAAGCTGACCACCCAAAGGGGTTTGGATTTTGGGGTGAAACGAGGCCCTGCTGTCAGGAAACAAAACCATTTTGTTTTGGGCTCTGCAGCTGGCTTGGATAGGAAACTTGTTGCCAGCTATGTGCTTTAATTGAGCCTAAATGGAGGAGGGGCCCGGAAAGGACTCTGAAGCAAAAGGTGAGATTCCTGCCTTCCTGCCTCCCCAACTCACTCCCCAAAAGTAGACACTGGGCAGCAAAGTTTCTTAACAAAGTCAGGAAAGAAAAAAATCCAGAGACCAGGCAGGCTAATAAACCCTTAGCAGGAATATCTGACCTCATCAGCCAAATGGCTCTGCCATATTCATGGTCTTGGACAGGTGAGGAAACTGAGGTTCAAGGAGGACAGCAAGAGTCTGGCCAGGAATCTGGCAGCCTGGAGCCCTAAAGGTCCCGGCAGACATCGCCCTCCAACTCCTTTCAATCCCCAACCCCCACCACCGCCCAGAGGCTCCACCCTTCCGCCAACCAGACGGCTCCACTCCCAGCTTATTCACCCTAAAATCAGTCAGGGGTCTGCTGGGCCACCTGCCCTCCTCCAATCCCCTTCACTCACCAGTCCAGGGCCTCCCTGCACATGGTTGTCAGGCTGGGGATGGGGGTGTCACTACCCCCTTGCCCAGGCTGGAGGTTGCTTGTTCCCAGGGGGTGGGTCCTTGGTAGCCTCCTCCAGGCCACTCCTCTCTGGTTGGTAGCCAGGAGTCTGGCAGCGCGTGTGCAGGGCAGATGGCCCCCGGAGCCCTTGGCGATTTGGCGAGGGGTTGCCAGGGCCACACCTCGGAGACTGCGGCGTCTTTGCAAGGTGGGTCTGGAGCTCCGTCTCCTTCCCTGGCTTCGGGGCCCCTCCTAGAAGACCCTCCTGGTCTCGCAGGACCCTGACTGCCGGCAGCCCCACACTCCTGAGACATGACCCTTACCTCTGCCTGGCGTTGGGTATGCACTCCATGGGGCAGAAAAATCCCTTAGCCCACCCGGCTTGAGAGTAGGGTAGGGGCCGTGGTGGCACTAGAGAGTGTCACCGCGTCATGCTGGCCACTGTTGGGCAGGGGCTGAACTTCAGTTGAACCCGCTCATCCAGCCTTCAAATTCCAGCCTCTGGCTTTGGCGAATCTGGCCAGGACCTGGGGCCTAGAGGCAGGGTCTGTGGATGCCACGGGCCAGGCTCCCCTCTCACACTTGGGTGGTGGCCCTGCGGCTCCGGGCGCCACACACACCGCTGTGCCCGCTCAAGAGGTGACCTTCTGGAGCAGTGGCAGCAGAACCCGGGACTCACCTGGCAGTGGCACGCACTCGCAGCCTTTTCCCCAACCAGGCGCCTGGAGTGTCAGGTTCCCCGCCTGCCGCCACCCCCGTAACCCTCGCTTCTCCTGGCTCAGGGGCTCCAAGGCGGTGCCGCCACCAAGGCCACGGCCAGGTTGAGCACGCAGCAGGGCGGGTGTCCCGGTCCTCAGACTCCCCGCGGGCAGACAACTCCCACGTCCGCTCGGGAACCGGCGGGACGAATGACCCCCAGCCCCGGAATCCGGCGGAGGAGGAGGGCGGATCCTTACTTGGGCTGGCGTGGCCCGTTTGGGTCTCCCGGAATTCTCCAGCCCCGCCAACCTTAGGGCTCCTGGGCCGCCTGGCTCCGCCTCCTCCCCGCCAGGATCCCTCCCAGGAGGCCGCAGAGCCCTCCGGGGGCAGCGGGGACTAACTTCCTAGAGCGGGAACCACGGCGCTCCCCGACGGCAAGGGCCACCGCGAGTCCAGCCACGCGACACTCCGACTCCTCCGCGCCCGCTCGGTCCCACGGCTGGAGACCCCCAGTGCGGGCATGCAACCCACTGGACCCTGCCCAGACCACCTAGGCCCCGCGCTCTTAGACGCCAGACACTGCCCTGCTGGTGGGGGGGACCAGTGTGTATGTATGTCGGGACTATTGGGTAAACGTGGCTGGTTTCCCCAAAGGTAGGGACTCCTTTGAAGTTTTATTTATTTTTTCTTATTTACTTAAAACTGGTAGAGTCTAATTATTTAGAGGTACCCGTGATCATATCAGTACATTTCAGAACTTTTTTTTTTTTTTTTTTTTTTTTTGCGATGGAGTCTCGCCCTGTCTCCAGGCTGGAGTGCAGTGGAGGGATCTCAGCTCACTTGCAACCTCCGCCTCCCTGGTTCAAGCGATTCGACGGCCTCAGCCTCCGGAGTCGCTGGGATTACAAGCATGCGCCACCATGCCTAGCTAATTTTTGTGTTTTTAGTAGAGACGGTTTCACCTTGTTGACCAGGATGGTCTTGATCTCTGACCTCGTGATTCGCCCGCCTCGGCCTCCCAAAGTGCTGGGATTACAGGCGTGAGCTACCGCTCCCAGCCGAGCACGCTTTTACTAGTTTTTGTCGGTTAGTCCTTTTGTTTCTGTTTTTAAGGAGAATTTAAAATTCTACCTGAAATCAGTAAAGTAACTTCAGAAAAAATTTAATGAGAAAAGAGTGGTTTTCAGGAAGAATTGATTATCTCGGGCTAATGTAAAACAGTCTGGCACAGTGATTTAGAATCTCAAATATTCTGACGTGTCAAATTGAAGCCATGTTTAAAAAATCCGAGTTACAGCTATTATATTATTTTTCAATGCTACTCTTTGCCCTGGAAGGAAGCCATGCATTCCTCATAATCCAAGCAACCTGGAGAGCTGGCTACAACGCCCTTCGAATATTACATTTTATTTATTTATTTATTGAATGGAGTCTCGCTCTGTTACTATTTATTTATTTATTTATTTATTGACGGAGTCTCGCTCTGTCTTCCAGGCTGGAGTGCAGTGGCACGATCTCAGCTCACTGCAACCTCCGCCTCTCGGGTTTAAGCGATTCTCCTGCCTCAGCCTCCCCCTCCGAGTAGCTGGGACAAGAGGCACGTGCCACCACGCCCGACTAATTTTTTGTGTTTTTAGTAGAGACAGGGCTTCACTGTGTTAGCCAGGATAGTCTCCATCTCCTGACGTCGGGTGATCAGCCTGCCTTGGCCTCCCAAAGTGCTGGGATTACAGGCGTGAGCCACCGGCCCGGCGGAAGACATTTTAGTGAGGTAGACCAGGAATACGAAAAAGTCTTTTAGCTTTTCCTGTCCTTTGTAGTCGGAAAGACTGTTCAGAAAGTATAATTTGGGTATGTTAGGTCTTCATTCTGTTGGGGGTTCTAAAAAGTAATATATGTAATGTATGTAATCCATGGTAGATGTTCATTTCTTTTTGCTGAATTTTAAGTGTTTGTTACATATCTTAGATAATATTTCTTTCCAGATAGGTGTTTTGAAAATGTTTTTCTTCTAGTCTGTGCCTTTTCTTATTCGAATGAGACCAATGCCTTTCACAGTTTTTGTTTTTAAATTTCAATGAAGAATAGCATATTATTGCTCTATTTAAGAACATCTAGATTTTTTTCCTGTTTTCTTCTAGTTTCATTGTTTTGTGTTTACATTTAGGTCTATGATACGTTTTGAGATAATTTTTGTTTTTGAGGTGGAGTTTTGCTCTTGTTGCCCAGGCTGGAGTGTAATGGCGCGATCTTGGCTCACCTCAACCTCTGCTTCCTGGGTTCAAGCGGTTCTCCTGCCTCAGCCTCCCTAGCAGCTGGGATTACAGGCATGCACCGCCACGCCCAGCTAATTTTGTGTTTTTAGTAGAGACGGGGTTTCACCGTGTTGGTCAGGCTGGTTCCAACTCCTGACCTCAGGTGATCTGCCTGCCTGGGCTTCCCAAAGTGCTGGGATTACAGGCATGAGCCACCGTGCCTGCCCTTGAAATAATTTTTGAGGAGTGCAAAACTATGCCTAGATTCAATTTTTTTGCATGTGGATGTCCAGTTGTTACAGCACCATTTGTTAAAAGACTATTTTTTCTCCATTGTATTGCTTTTTATTCTTTGTGAAAAATCAGTTAACTGTATTTTTGTAGATCTTTGAGATTTGTATTTGTTCCTTTGATCAATTTGTGGATTATTTTGCCAATACAATGTCTCATGATTACTACAGATTTATAATAAGTATTGAAGTTGAGTAATAACAGTCCTGTTACTTTGTTATTTTTCAATATTGTATGGGTTTTGGTTTTTTCTCTTCATATGTTAGAAAGTGTTCTCAAAATCCACAACATAATTTCCTTGGGTTTAGATTGGGATTGTGTTGATCTACAGATGAAGCTGAGAAATGACATCTTGACAATACTGAGTTTTCTTGTATGTGAGAAGAGAATATTTCTTCTGTGAAATACAGATTACACTCTGAAATACATGCTTCTTATTTGAATAAGACAAGGCTCAGACTGGAAGAAAAATATTTTCAAAATACCTATAACATTGTATATAGTTATTGAATTTTTTCATCAGAATTATAGTTTTTATAAAAATGATCTTGAATATATTTTGTTAGGTTTATATGTGTTTCATTTTGAAAAGTGATAATTTAAATGTTAAGGCATTTAAAATTTCAAATTTGACTTGTTCATTCCTGCTGTATTGGAAACAATTTACTTTTGTAAATCTTGTTCTCTGTACCCTTATTGTAATTACTTATTAGTTTCAGATTTTTTAGGTTGATCATTTTGGATTTACTATATAGACAATCCAGTCATCTGCAAAAAATGGCAGTTTTATTTTATCCTTCGCAAGCAGTATACACTTTCCTCCCCTGTATTATACTATACACATTTTCAGTAAAATGCTGAGATGGAGTGCTGATAGAGGACATGGCTGACCGGATCCTGATCTCGGCAGGATAACTTCTAGTTCTCACCATCTAGGTTATGATGGTAGCTGTTGGGTTTTTTTGTTTGTTTGTTTGAGATGGAGTCTCACTCTATTGCCCAGGCTGGAGTGCAGTGGGATGATCTCAGCTCATTGCAACATCCACCTCCCAGGTTCAAGCAATTATCCTGCCTCAGCCTCCTGAGTAGCTGGGACTACAGGCACTTGCCACCACACCTGGCTAATTTTTTATTTTTAGTAGAGATGGGATTTCACCATGTTGGTCAGGCTGATCTCGAATTCCTGACCTCAGGTGATCAGCCCGCCTCGGCCTCCCAAAGTGATGGGATTACAGGCATGAGCCACCACGCCCAGCCAGCTGTTGGGGTTTTAAAAACTATTCTGTATAAAGTTGAGGAAGTTCCCTTCTGTTCATTCTTTGCTCAGTCTTTTAACCACGAGAAGGTACTGGATGTTTTCAAATGTTTTTCTCTCCATTTATATGCTCATGTTATTTTTCTTCTTTAGTCTCCATGGAATAGACTGCATTAATTGTTTTTTAAAAGTTAAAACATATTTGCATTATCTGAAATAAATCCAAATTGTCCATAGTGTGTAATTGTTTTTGTACCTTGTTGAATTTGAATTGCTAGTATTTTGTTGAGGTTTTTGCATGTATATTTATGAGAGATATTGGTCTGTGGTTTTATTTTCTCGTAATGTCTTTGTCTGGTTTGATATAGGTTAATGCTGGTCTCATATAGAGTTAGGAGGTATTCTCTCTTCTCTTGTCTTCTGTAAGAAATTGAAGAGAATTGATATTATTATTATTTCAGATGGAGTTTCCCTCCTGTTGCCCAGACTGGAGTGCAGTGGCATGATCTTGGCTTACTGCAGCCTCCTCCTCCTGGGTTCGAGCAATTCTCCTGCCTCAGGCTCCTGAGTAGCTGGGGGTACAGGCATTCATCGCCACACCTGGCTAATTTTTTGTAGTTTTAGTAAGTAGAGATGGGGTTTCACCATGTTGACCAGGCTGGTCTTGAACTCCTGACCTCAGTGATCCACCGACCTCAGCCTCCCAAAGTGCTGGGATTACTGGCATGAGCCACCACTCCTGGACAATGAATTGGTATTATTTCTTACTTTAAAATTGGGTAAAATTGACTTTTATGCTGGGGGTCAGAAGTAGACGATGTAAAATGGAGGAGGACAGGCAGAGCTGGGAAGTATCTATTCTGGGGATGGGTATCTTGGACCAGCGTTGAGTTCTAGCCTCCCTACCCCTTGGCAGGGCATCTCTGGCCCCATCCACAGATTTTTTTTTTTTTTTTGAGATGGAGTTTGGCTCTTGTTGCCCAGGCTGGAGTGTAATGGCATGATCTTGGCTTATTGCAAACTCTGCCTCCCAGGTTCAAATAATTCTCCTGCTTCAGCCTCCCAAGTAGCTGGGATTACAGGCACCTGCCACTATGCCTGGCTAATTTTTGTATTTTTAGTAGAGATGGGGTTTCACCATGTTGGCCAGGCTGGTCTCCTGACCTCAGGTGATCCTTCTGCCTCGGCTTCCCAAAGTGCTGGAATTACAGGTGTGAGCCACCACGTCCAGCCAGATATGTTTTTTTCCTCTTTTTTTTTTTTTTTTTTTTGAGATGGAGTCTCACTTTGTCGCCCAGGCTGTAGTGCAGTGGCATGATCTCGGCTCACTGCCACCTCCGCTTCCCGGGTTTGAGCAATTCTCTTGCCTCAGCCTCTGGAGTAGCTGGGACTACAGGCATCCATTACCATGCTCAGCTAAGTTTTGTATTTTTAGTAGAGATGGGGTTTCACCACACTGGTCAGGCTGGTCTTGAACTCCTGACCTCAGGTGATCCGCCAGTCTCGGCCTTCCAAAGTGCTAAGCCCCCGTCATTCCTCTCATGGGACACATAAGATGTATGGAACCCAAAGTTCTGTCTATCTCTCCTCAGCCA